AGGCATTTTTTAATAAATTTTCATATTAATGACTCACAGTACTCAAACTAATGGCTGTTGCTTGTGCCGCTACATTAGTAGCCCTTCTAGCTCCAGTAAATCCCTCGGCTCCACAGGTGTGGTATAACTGAACAACTCCTTTAAATATAAATAATGCCGAATAAATCATGTAATTATCTCCTGGATGTAATGAAAAATGTCAATTATTGGACACAATACCTTCGTGATCAGTCAACGATATCAGGGTATTATTTTTAGAACACTTGACGTTGATAATTGGAATTTCCTTGAAGGGTATCCCATTGAACAATCTGTTAGGCAAATTCTCGTCAGGAAATATCTCTGATCTGTAACAATTATCGAAAAGTAACTGTAAAATATTGAAATTATTGACAACTTTCAGCTTCACACCTCGTCATAACCTAACTTATTATTATTGAATTATTAGATTCAGAATTGAATTGAATTAGCCTAGTAATACTCACTTGCTCGGTGAATTCTCTATTTCCACTCCAATTTCGCCGTGAGTCCCCTCATCCCTCCTGGGCATACTCCTGATTTGATTTCTTTTATCATCTTTCAGTGAATACGAGGTTAGATGAAAGAGTCTCGTAACAATTGGCAGGATAGATATTTGTTGATGGGTCAATGTCGATTGACAACACACTCTCTCGACCAATGGAGCTCTCAAAATACTTATTGCCGACTTTAACATCTTGTGAGCATTAAATAACAAACGGTTAATCTATCCTTTGCATTATTTTGTTAAGAGTTTTACAGAATAGACGCCATTTGCAATTGTAGAGGTCGTACCGATCACTTAATTGGACTTGATTAAGGCCTTTATTTTTAATTTAAAAATTTAAGTGACTCCATAAAATTTAAAAATTTCAGTTAATATCAATTTCGTAACGCAGAAAATAACATTCACCCTGTCAACTGGTCTCTCTGATAGCGGGACTGCTACTGCACTGGGGTCACTCAAACCCCCAGAAATGAGCCTCTACTTGAATCAATCCTCTTTGGATGGAATAATACAAACTGCAAATAAAATAATTCTCTAAAGAATTTTCCGACATTTTTACACCTGCAATTATTCCATTACGTCGTATAATTTATCTCCAGACACAATAAACATTTCAGTCCATTTATTGAAGGAATTAACTTTTGTCTCGTTTTTTATTGTAGAATTTATTCATAAAGTGATGTACAAATGCGTGAGCTAACAATATTCTAAAGGCTTCATTAATCCGTAAATATGATCATTATCTCGAAATACTTCAATTAGACTAAATTAAAATATGACAATGAAATTAGATGATACTGAATTCTGCTGCAGAGAAAAAAAAAATACTTGAAGTCTGTGAATTTACTTCTCAAATAAGAAATCTTTCTCTCTGCGTCTCATTAAATGGCGATGAGTTTTAATTTCAAATTCTATGATAAATGAAATCCATGGATTTGTTTTGCCATTGTAACGGGCTAGCAAATATTCAAATACTGATATTGTTCCTCGTTGAGATAAAAAATATTAAAGACAAATAGAATCGAACAATTTTCATTGACGATGTGACGACCAGAAAACGCAGAACTCCAGGCTCCACGTTAGTCAGATCTCCAACTTAATGTTGGAGGCAAATCAATCATCTTGAAAATAAAGAGAAATCTTCTGGAATGGATAACGTCAACCTGATTTGTCCTTCAAATAATAACTTTCTCTCTGTCTCATTAAATGATGACCAATTGAGATTTGAAATTCTATGATGAATGAAATCCATGGATTTTTTTTGTAATTATAATGGGCTAGCAGTAGAGTCCAGTGCCCTGAGTCTTGATAACGCACTCCTTCAAATACTGATACTGTTTCTCATTGAGATTCTGACAGAGATCATCACTCTCGAACTGCTCCAGGGTCGCAGCCCCGGCTACGTACCCGTTGAGTTTAGCAGCTAGGGGAGAAGTTTTTATGACCTCGTCCGAGGTGATGCCGAGGGACTCCAACAGCCAGGGATGCAATCTCAAACGATATTTTTGGTGATAACTGCAATCAAATTTCCAAATTTAGTTTCTAATTCCACAAATTTACGGAATTCTCGTAGCAAATAATAATATAGGAAGAATTAATTATCCAGGGATTATATCAATCATTCGATAGAATATGTTAATAACCGTTGAAAAATACTGACTCTTCTGCTGGATAGAACTTTTCAAAGGCCTTGATTGTTGTCGTCAGGTGCTCGCCACGTTCTCTCTGTTCATGAACACGTGACTTCTCGGCTATAGTTTTCTGCTCCTCATCGTGGTAAAGAATCAATGAAGC